AACGAGCAGAACATGAAAGGGGAAAATGGTAACTTTATACTGAAAAACCAATAAATGGTACAAAGGGATAAAAGTTAGCATTACCAATGACTTCATGTCTATATCAAATACTCCCTGATGCGTTTGTCAAAACTTACAAATACTCCCTGATATGATGTGATTAGAAGGGCACTTTTCCTCTGTCATATTGAGGGAATGTGTTCTCTTTCCTGGTCCATGAGCAGGTGTAGCTTTAAGGGCAAGAATTTCCCAGCACCATGACCCCCTCCCATCTCTCTCTATCCAGGAGATTCAACCGTTTATGTTTGAATTTCACGGGAGCGGGGTGGGGGGGGGGGGGGACTAAAAGTCAATCACTCCAGTGGAAGTTCTAAGGAACTCTTTTCATTGGCCCAGAGTCTTGGAGAAGGTGGAGGTTTCTCCCAAGATAAAAGTCCATGCTCCCTCACCTGCGACGGATTTCCAACTTTCTGGAATCCCCTCCCACTTGGTGGGAGCTCCCTCCAGGATTTCCCCTCTGGAATTCCCTTCCATACTCTTCAGTAGAAGCCTTTCTCTTCTCCTTACCTTCTCTTTTCTCTACCTAAATAAAATCACCTTTCTGCAACACTGTTTTGGGTCCAAAATTTTACTTTGCAAGCATAAGGTGCAGGTGAAGCTGCCCCACTGCTTATTCTTTAAGAGGTTGGAGGCCAAGAACCCACAACATCCAAGAAAAAAAACCCAGTTACAGAATTGGTGCCCAACATGGGGCAAAAGGAGTGAAGTGTAAAAAGGGAGGCCGGGCGTGGTGCCTCAAGCCTGTAATCCCAGCACTTTGGGAGGCCGAGGAAGGTGGATCACAAGGTCAAGAGATCGAGACCATCCTGGTCAACATAGTAAAACCCCATCTCTACTAAAAATACAAAAAAATTAGCTGGGCACGGTGGCGTGTACCTGTAATCCCAGCTACTCAGCAGGCTGAGGCAGGAGAATTGCCCGAACCCAGGAGGCAGAGGTTGTGGTGAGCCGAGATCGTGCCATTGCACTCCAGCCTGGGTAACAAGAGCGAAACTCCGTCTCAAAAAAAAAAAAAAAAAAAACAAGAAGGGAAAGATTTTGGAGGGTTAAGTGAAAATATTGGACCCTTCTCACTTGCTTTCTGTCCTGTCTCTTTAAGAAGGAGTTGCAGCCAGGCGGGGCTGTGGGGAACTGGAGTGGTGCTCCAAGCCACAGCGGTGCAGGCCAGCCAGAACTAAAGTGCACCTTTTCTCCCAAGCTGTTTTTCTCTCTTCTCTTCTCTCTCTCTCCCCCCCTCCCCCCCCCCACAAAGCCCCAGGTAAAGCTAGCCATAAAGGTCCAGGAAGCCAATCTTTTCCTGGGCGCTGGTACAGCCTTCTCAGTATTTCCCTCCTGCCCTGAAAACTTGGTGCTGGTATTAGGAAAGTTACTATCTCTATTCACTTACTATAAGCTATCTCAGAAGTTAATTAATAACAAATTCTCTTGCTAATTCTCTCTGCAAAGGGCAGCTCTCTCTGCAAACCAGCTTAACTCTTTAGCTACCATAGCTTTAAAAATAAAAGAGTCCTAAATCTGCTAACAACAGAGAGGAGGGAAACCTGTTTCTAGGAAAAACATTATTTTGTAAACCAGTTAGGTGCTATTTTAAATACAGAACTCAGGAATCAATCAAAAACAGGGCTAGAGACCTTCAAGAACCTGGCTCTGTTCTCTCCCAGGCTCATTTATAATTCTGGGCCTCTCATCTTTAACCACCTGGTCATATTCACTTCTTATAGAACCATAAGGTCACAGTTAATCCTGCTGCTGGAACCCCGGATATCCTTGGCTTGTAAGCTCTATCGTAAACCTGTAAATCAACCTGCACCCATAAAAGGCTCCCCTCTGGAGGAAACCTCAACTGCAGGGCCCCTTCTATGCCCCATTTCAGCAGAAAGTAGTTAAAGAAGATCGACACTCCTATTCCAACAGAAGTTAAAATTTCCTGATCAGAAGGGGGGAATAAGGAAATGTGTTCTCTTTCCAGGTCCATGAGCAGGTGTAGCTTTAAGGGCAAGAATTTCCCAGCACCATGCCCCCCTCCCATCTCTCTCCATCCGGGAGATTCAACGGTTTATGTTTGAATTTCGTGGGCACAGGAAGAAACTAAAAGTCAATCACTCCAGCGGAAGTTCTAAGGAACTCCTTTCACTGGCCCAGGGTCTTGGAGAAGGTGGAGGTTTCTCCCAGGATAAAAGTCTGTGCTCCCTCACCTGTGCCAGATTTCCAACTTTCTGGAATCCCCTCCCACATGGTGGGAGCTCCCTCTAGGATTTTCCTTCTGGAATTCCCTTTCATACTCTTCCTAGAAGCTTTTCTCTTCTCCTCCTTACCTTCTCTTTTCTCTACCTAAATAAGATCACCTTTCTGCAACACTGTTTTGGGTCCAAAATTTTACTCTGTGAGCATACAGTGCAGCTGAAGCAGCCCCACCACTTATTCTTTAAGAAGCTGGAGGCCAAGAACCCACAACATCCAAAAAAACCCAGTTACAATATTCTTGCCAAAAATCCTTAACTCTAGTCTAATGATCAAAAAAACAACAGACAGCCCAGATGAGATGGTATTCTACAGGCTACCTGACCAATATTCCTTAAAACTGTCAAGGTCATGAAAACTATGAAAGATAAGTTGAGAAACTATCACAGACAAGAGGAGACAAAAAGCATGGCAAGTAAATGCAGTATCATTAATTCCCGGATTAGAATATTATTGGGAAAAAACTGGTAAAATCCAAATAAAGTCTGGAGTTAACAGTAATATACAAATTGTCTTAGTTCATTTTCTGTTGCTCACAACAGACTACCTGAAACTGTGTAATTTATAAAGAAAAGGAATTTACTCCTTTCCTTGCAGTTATGAAGGCTGACGTCCAAGGTCAAAAGGCCTTAGAGGTGAGTCCTTTAAGAGGTGATTGGGCATGACAGTTCTGCTCACATGAAAGAACTGACCCATTCATAAATTAATGGGTTAATAAGTTAATGAGTTAATGAATCAACATGTTTTTATGGGAGTAAGACTGTGGGTTTATAAGAGAAAGGGAGAGACCTGAGGTAGCATGCTTAGCCCCTTGCCATGTGATGTCCTGTACCGCCTTGGGATTCTACAGAGAGGTCCCACCCGCAAAATGGCCCACACCAGATGCAGCACCTTGGCCTTGGACTTCTCAACCTCCGTTAACTATAAGAAATGAATTCCTTTTATTTACAAATTCCTCAGTTTTAGGTATTCTGTTTTAAGCAACAGAAAACATACTAACACAGGTAGGAAGGGATATGGCACTCCACTTAGGCTTAACATAGGCACACCTGCAATAGGGCCCATTGCAAGTTACTTAGGGACCACTCTGTCAGAGGCTATTGAGCGTATGAGTTAAATCTATGAAGACAGATAGCCAGGATTCAAATCACACCTCATATTTACTAGCTTGTTGACATCTGGGCATGTTACTTAGCCTCTCTGTCCCTCAATTTCTCACCTGTTATATACAGATAAGGCTACAATCCCTTAATTCACAAAATTTTCTAGATTCTGGAAAACAGTACATATTAAATGCTTTATAAAACACCCCAACAGGAGTCTGGGTCCTTAGAATACCTGATTACATAGTAATAAAGTATTTTTATATTTATGCACCAAACCATAGGTGTTCATGCTAGTTAGGATAAAGACTAAAAGAGCTTCGAGTACATCCAGGTCAGATTTTGCCAATGTATTTACCGCAAACTAACAAGAAACTTTTGGTTTTGGGGTGTTAGAATTGAAAACAAGAGATCTGTAGTATGTACCCCATAGGACTATAATGATAATTAACTGAACTAATACATGACAAGTACTTAGAATACCACCTAGAATACAGTAAGTGATATCAGATGACTTATTATTTTTACATGCAATTTACTTTGATTCTCAATAAGAGATACAAAAGTGATTAAAATTTATTTCTAAAATATAATCTAATAAACTATGGATATTTAACTTTCCCAGTGAACCATTACAATAATAGCTAACATGTATAAAATGACTGTTATATGCTATGCACTATGTTAAAATTTTTAATGCATTAATGTGATGGTTAATATTGAGTGTCAACTCAATTGAATTGAAGGTTGCAAAGTATTTTTCCTGGGTGTGTCTGCAGGTATTTCCAAAGTAGATTAACATTTGAGTCAGTGGACTGGGAGAGGCAGACCCATCATCAGTCTGGGTGGGCACCATCTGATCAGCTGCCAGCAAGGCTAGGATAAAAGCAGGCAAAAGTTGGAAGGACTTGACTTGCTGAGTCTTCTTGCCTTCATCTTTCTTCAGTGCTGGATGTTTCCTGCCCTCAAACATCAGCCTCCAAGTTCTTCAGCTTTTGGACTCTTGTACTTACACCAGTGGTTTGCCAGAGGCTCTTGGGCCTTTAGCCACAGACTGAAGGCTGCATTATCAGCTTCTCTACTTTTCAGGTTTTGGGACTTGAACTGGCTTCTTTGCTCCTGAATTTGCAGATGGCCTATCGTGGGATCACCTTGTGATCATGTGAGTCAGTTCTCCTTAATAAAGTCCCTTTCATATATATATATGCCCTATTAGTTTTGTCCCTCTAGAGAACCCTGATTAATACAATTATCTTATTTATCATTTATAAGCACTCTAAGGTAGATAATATTATTATCATCCTCACTTTATATATAACAAAAGGGAAGCTATAAGAGACCAAGTAATCCACCCAAGATTAAGTAGTGAACCCATTACTTAAACTCAGGCATTCTGACTTGTAAGAACCATGCTTTTAACCATAATCTTATGCCACCTTCTACAAGATATGTGTGTCATGTCTTGACACTCCAGTTGAGAACCACGATGTACCAAGGTCTAGGAAATCTGACATACCAGTATTTCTCTACTTCTCTAACAATTACATTTTAAGTTACACATACAAATAATGCCAGCAAAACAAAGTTAAAACTTACCAAATGGTGCAGTATGATATTAGTCCTTTTGAATGCATTAAACCTGAAACAAATGTGGAATACAATGAGAACAGTAATATGGGCAGTCATGTCTCAGTTTACAAATAGCATATCACCTTTTGTTTCAGCCTCTTCTAAAAGGTATTATTGTAAGAAAAAGTTTTAAAAGGCTTAGCTCTCATTCACTGCTGGTAGAATCGTAAAATGGTACAGCCACTTTGCACATGAATTTTCTGATAGCTTTATTTGTAACTGCCAAAATGTGGAAGTAACCAAGATGTTCTTCAATGGTTGGAAGATAAACCAATTTCAGTACAACCATATAAAATATTATTCAGCCATGAAAAAGAGAAATGAGCCACTATGCCACACACACACACACACACACACACACACACACAAAACTGGAAGAAACTTAAATGCATACATACTACTGAGCAAAAGCAGCAAGTCTGAAAAGGCTACATACTCTGATTTCAACTGTATGATATTCTAAAAAGGGCAAAATTATGAAATCAGTAGAAAGACCAGTGGTTACCAGGGGCTTGGGAAAGGAAGGGAGGGATGAACAGGTAGAAGACAGGAGACGTTTAGGGCAGTGAAACTAATCTGTATGATATTGTAATAGTTTATATATGTCCTTATATATTTGTTGAACTTTTTCGCTCAAATTTGCAAGTCATTTTTTCCATCAACTTAAAACTACTCGAAAAATAAAGTCGTTAATCTAACGAAAAAAAGCTTTGTTAAAGATGTAACACAAACAGCATTCTCGGACACTGTAGAGAGGTATAAATTGGTACTGCCTTTCTAGTAAATAGTTTAGAAATACAAATCCACAGCCTTTACAATGATCATACCCTTCAATCCAGTAATTCCACAAGTATGTGCACTAGGGAAATCTCAGAAATATGACCAAGGTTTGATTGATAAATATGTTCACAATGATTTACATGATGGGAAAACTGAAAACAAAATAAATGTCTAAGAATAGAGCATTATTTTAAAGACTATATCACCTATTAATATACATAGCTATTACACAACCACTGAAAATACTAACAAGTATTTAAATATGTAACATGGAAAAGTCGTCATGACAGAAATTACAACAGAAGAGCAGACTACAAAACAATAAACACAAAGAGATCGAGACCATCCTGGTCAACATGGTGAAACCCCGTCTCTACTAAAAATACAAAAAATTAGCTGGGCATGGTGGCACGTGCCTGTAATCCCAGCTACTCAGGAGGCTGAGGCAGGAGAATTGCCTGGACCCAGTAGGCGGAGGTTGCGGTGAACCGAGATCACGCCATTACACTCCAGCCTGGGTAACAAGAGCAAAACTGTCTCAAAAAAAAAAACAATAAACACAACATACTTCTATTTTTGCTGTTTTAAAAGCATTTGTTGGGCTAGGAAAAAAAAGCCTAAAACACAGCTTGACCAAAGTGACCACTAATAACGGACCTGAGAATGGTGAGGGTGGGGGAACCTGGGAAAGGGCACGAACATGGAAGGTTGGAAATTGTCTCTATCCCGATGCTGATTATAGGACTGCAGATACACACACACACACACCTGCACGCACACACAAACACAAGTTCACTAAGCTATAAACTTCAGAATACTTTACTCAAGTGCTTTATGTAAATTATAAGACAGTAAAAGGCAACATGAGGGGGCCTCTGAAATGCTGGTATAGCTTGTTTCTTGATCAGGTCCTGGTTATTTAGGCATGTTTGGTTTGTGAAAATTCATCAAATTGTATCATCATGCTTTGGGCCTTTTAAAAAATTTCCCAAAAGACATAGCCCTTGCCCTTTAGAAAACCACAATGCAGTGACAGATATGTATATAAAAATACTATAGTTAGAATATACTGTGCTTTTTAAGAAGCTAAATTTAAGATCTATGGAAAGAGGTCAAAGCTAGAATCAGTAGCTGCAGCAGTTTGATAAGGGCTGTGCACATGTGCAGATACATATACTATCTACTGGAACTGATAAATTGAGAATCTGTTAATTTTTCAAGGATACTGAGATTATATGAAGAGGAACAGCCTAGCTGAGGTTTCATAAAAGGCAATATGACCAGTTACCACTTGTAATTACAACTTGGATGACTGGATTTATAAAAATATTTGTAATTCAACTTTTCAGAATTTATAGTACTTTCCTTTTATACTACATTCAAATTGAATAATAGCATTAAAAAAGGAGAAATGAACTATTTGTTTAAATCAGTCATAGTTCACATTCCTGAACTAGCATTGTTTTCATTTGTCTCAGCCCAAGTAAAATATTCTCATCCTAGCCCAGTGATTTCAAGACTGGCCTGTACATTAGAATCACCTGGAGACTCAGCCAGGCACCACAGCTCATTCCTGTAATTCCAGCACTTTGGGTGGCTGAGGCAGGCAGGGAGTTGCCTGAAGTAAGGAGTTTGAGACCAGCCTGGCCAACACAGCAAAACCCCGTCTCTACTAAAAGTACAAAAGTTAGCTGAGAGTGGTGGTGGGTGCCTGTAATTCCAGCTACTCAGGATGCTAAGGCAGGACAATAGCTTGAACCTGGGAGGCCAAGGTTGCGGTAGGCTGAGATTGCTCCACTGCACTCCAGTCTCCAAGACAACAGCCAAGACTCCGTCTCAAAAAAAAAAAAAAAAAAAAAAAAAATCACCTGGAAACTCATAAAAATTCCAAAGCCCAGGTCACACCAAGACCAATTAATTCAAACTCTGGAGGTGGGGCACCAGCACAGATATTGTTTGAAACTCCCCTAAATGACTTCAAAGAATGGAAGCTGTCATTAAAAATCAACACTTAACACTTCGTAATTATGAAACTGAAGTGACAGATTGTATCTTATTTAGGGATACTTTCTAAACAAGGTTTTCAGAATTACTTTTAAAGTCTGAACTACACTACCCTAAAACACCATTTCTAAAATGTTTTCAACTTGACTCAATTTTATCTTTTTGGAAGTTTTAAGTATTGAAAAATTTAAGAGCTAATTTCTTCAGATCCAGAATGACTTTGGATTCCTTAATGAGGCCAGTACCCAAATGTCATTTCGAAGTTAAAGAGGGTGTTGCCAGATTTGCAAGTGTTATCTAACAGTTAAGTACTAATTGCAAGTAAACAGAACTCAGGCCTAGCTCCAAGTCCCAGTTTTATACATAAAAGATGATTTTATCTAACTCAGAGAAAGTTAATGTAAACCCATCAAACACAAGTGCAAAGCCACTGTGCACAGTATTTACAGGTCATAAAAATCTGTGGACCAATTACTACAAAAAATACATACATACAACCAAATTCCTTGCCAAATTCTATATAATCATACTGCTTTCATTCGTTCTAATTCATACTCATCTGTCGTTTAAAATTTGATATTAGCTTTTATACCTCAAAATGTATTTGAGAATTCAGTACCTCTGAATTTATGATCTTTCCTTTCTACTGGTTCCAAAACTGCCATCTGGTGGAGAAGAAGAGGGCATGCACATCTCCGCTACTTCTAATTTCTTAATTAACTTTGGTTTACCAGGCTTATTTCCTTCAGCTGATGTCAACTTGGCTTTCTAGAAGTCATTCTCATAGTATGGTTCTTGGACAAGGACCATCAACATCCCCTGAAAACTCGTTAGAAACTCTGCTCCACCCCACATCTACTAAACAAGAAATGGTGGAGCCCAGAAATCTGTGTTTAACAAATTCTCCAGGTGGTTATGATGTATGAAGTTTAAATAAACAACCGTCTTAGATGAGAATTTTATGACTCAGGGGCTTCTTGCAATTGTCCAATAAAACAAACATGACCTCACGAAATTAAACGAACTACATAAAACTGTTGAAGTAGGAAGGCATCATGAAAGTAGTGCTTAGTGAAATTATCCCAGAAGTAGGCAAGGTGTGAATAGAGCAGAAAATCAAGTCCAGGAGGCCAATAATTTAGGCGTGCAGCGATGAAGAACAGCAGCTGTGGAAACAGAGGGGAGTGATATTAAGATTATGAAGTAAAAACTCAATGGAAAAGAATGTCAAAAACAACTTTAAGATTTCAAGCCAGGACAACTAGGAGAGTATAAGAAAGACACGGAAAGAAGCTAGCTGGTTTGCAGGATGTAATATAAATTTGATCTTGAATTTCAGTTTGTCTGACATAAGCAGAAATATTCAACAAGAGACTAGAGCTTGAAAGAATAGTTAGGACTAAAGGTATGTCTTATGCCACATACATGTAAAATCATCGAGACAGGAATCTCTCAGCCCTCTATAAGGAATAAATGAGAAAGCTGCAGTTGAAAACTAATTGCCAGAAGGGTGCCACCTGCCAACTGCAACTGTGGTTTCGGTCAGCAGCATTTTATTTTTGTATTCTATTTATTTATTTATTTTTAGAGAAAGGGTCTCACCCTGTCACCCAGGCTGGAGTGCAGTGGTGTGATCATAGGCTCACTGCAGCCTCAATCTCCTGGGCCCAAGCCTTCTGAACAGCTAGGACTATAGGCACACACCACCACACCTGACTAATTTTAAAATTTTTCATAGAGACACAATCTATGTTGCCCAGGCTGATCTTGAATTCATGGGCTGTGATACTCCAGCCTCAGCCGCCCAAAGTGCTGGGACTACAGGCTTGAGTCACCATGCCTGGCGCAGTAGTGTTTTAAAACTACTAACATTATCTGCATGGAATAGGAGAGATTAAAAAGAAGGAAAAAAAAAGAGAAAAACTACTAACATTTAAAAATCAAGAGACTTCACCTAAAAATGCAGTTTTTCTAGAAAAATCAATTATGGAAACCCTGAGTCTATATTCTGTAAGGGCAACAATGCCTGGGGCTGAGAAGCTGCCTCCTCTCTAGAGCACTCCCTCCAGCTCACCAGTCAGTCCCCCACACTGCCATCTAGCCAGCATCTGTCAGTGCTTCCTTCTCAGCCTCTGCATTCAGGCTAGTGATTCCTAACCCAGAAAAAACCTAACAGAGCATCAAAGATTGAGCCTTCGATCAACTAAGAAACAACTAAGTAGAAGTAAAAGAGAAGAGGCCAGGTGGCTCCCAGCACTTTGGGAGGCTGAGGCGGACAGATCACGAAGTCAGGAGTTCAAGATCAGTTTGGCCAACATAGTGAAACCCCTCCTCAACTAAAAATACACACACACACACACACATACACACACCAATTAGCGAAGTGTGGTGGTGTGCACCTATAATCCTAGCTACTCGGGCGGGTGGCTGAGGCAGGAGAATCATGTGAACCCAGGAGGTGGAGGTTGCAGTGAGCTGAGATCACGCCACTGCACTCCAGCCCAGGCAACAGTGCGAGACTCCATCTCTAAATAAATAAATAAATAAATAAAATAGAAGTAAAAGAGAATAGAGGCAGTCAAAGAGCAAGAACCAAAACAATATAGTTCAGCAGAGTACAGAGCAGATGGAAAAGGCAATAAGGCCTATTAACAACCTAAAAAGTAACCTTTTTTTTTTTTTTTTTTTTTTTTGAGACTAGGTTTCTATGCATTGCCCAGGCTGGAGAGCAGTGGCACAATTATAGTTCACCCAGTAAACTTGAACTCCTGGGCTCAAATCCTCCCACCTCAGCCACCCGCACTGGAAGGAAAGGCGTAAGCCACCATATCCAGCTAGTTTTTTTATTTCTTATTTTTTATACAAATGGGGTATTGCTATGCTGCCCGGGATTGTCTTAAACTCCCACCTTGGCTTCTCAAAGTGCTAGGAATATAGGCATGAGACACCATACCCAACAAAGAGCAACCTCTTTGAAGAGGCTTCCTGACTCCCTCTCCCTATCTAAATCTGGCTCTCATAACTGTACTTTTCCCTTAAGACGCTTACCAGAATTGGTAACTAAAAATTACTTTTCGCTATTTGCTTCCTATCTGCTCTCCTTTCAGACTCCAAGGGCCTTACATAAGGAACAGCAGGAACACCAAGCAGTCCAGGGTGGCTACAGGATAAAAGAAATGCCTACGACTGTGCTTCCCAGAAAGTAGAACAGAACAGTAGGCAATTGTTCATTCACGAATATACTGGGGCCAAATCTATGAAATCCAGGCTGGTAAATTTGTATTTAATGGCATAAGCAGAACAGCACCTCTGAGCAGAAGAATGGCAGGCACTGAAGTAAACCTTAGCAAGATTAACCTGGCAATCATATACAAAAACAATTCACACTGCGAAGATGAAAAAGTGATAAATTTGAGACTACTGATGAAACCTGAATCTGCAGGAAGAGGTAAGGTCTGGGAGTGTGGGAGAACTTAGATAACTTTGAGAATCTAGAAGAATGATAGTGCCGAGAGAGAGAGAGAGAGAGAGAGACAGACAGAGAGAGAGACAGAGAGAGAGAGAGAGAGAGGGAAAGAGAAAGAGTTATACTTATATGCAATTTTTTTTCCTTTTTTCCTGAGATGGAGTCTTGCTCTGTCGCCCAGTGGTGGAGTGCAGTGATGCGATCTCAGCTCACTGCAACCTCCGCCTCCCAGGTTCAAGCAATTCTCCTGCCTCCGCCTCCCAAGTATTTGGGATTACAGGCACCTGCCACCACACCCAGCTAATTTTTTTGTATTTATCGTTGAGACAGGGTTTCACCATGTCGGCCAACCTGGTCTTACTCCTGACCTCGGATGATATGCCTGCCTCAGCCTCCCAAAGTGCTGGGATCACAAGCGTGATCCTGTGCCTAGCCCTTATGTGCAAATTTATATATGAAGTGCAACTGAGACATTCAGAGGGTTGGACCAGCACTGCAGCTCAGGGCAAGTCAGGTTAGGCAAAAATTTGAGTTATCCTAAGAGATGATTTATTTGGGAACCAAAAAACCTCCAAGAGCTAAATTGCACTGGGGTAAGAGAAGACGTGGTGGAGAGTAGCATTAGGAAAGTAGGCCAGTACTGGGGAAGCCGAGGGAGGCCAGAGTTCAAGTGTGGATGCCCAACACTGTCAGCCATGGCCCAAGGCCCTTTTTTCTCTCAGAAACACTTCCCTTATATATTTGTGGGTTAGGCTGTTGTGGACTGGACCACCTTGGCCTCTGCTTTCTAGGATAATGCCCACTCCAGGGCTGAGTCTGGAAAAGGCATCTCAGATCAAAGGCCCCAAAACAGTCCTGGCCTCACCTCCAGAGTCTGCATCTTGGAACACAGGGTGGAAGAAAGCCAAGCTGAATTGTGGGAATGACAGATCCTTTCCAAGTCAGTTAACTTTAACAAACATGTCTTTCCAATTTGTTTCTCAATTTGCTATTTGCTGACAACACTGAAAAAGCACAGCAACGATTATGTGTACTGATTTTCTTAGTATTTACTAAATCTCTCCATGAGCTGGTGCAAAGACAACTAATTTTAAGGTATTGAAAAAACAAGCAGAAAAGTAACTCTTCAATGTTTAACAAGTATCTACTGAGACACAGGTCTGTGGATACAATGTTAGACATCTAAACACTTTCCATTGAAACTATTGTTCTTAAGTCAAAGAAACACTTTCATTCCTTTGCAGGAAACCCGGAAGGCAAATTTTAAGGCTTCAAGAACCCAGTAATTTAAGTTGTCCTTACTTTAAGGAAACAAGGATATTTCTCTCTTCAAATGGACGCAGCTGCTACCTGGAATGACAGCACGGCCAGGCAGTGGGCTACGCAAGACTCATGAGGCCTAACTTCCTAAAGATGATGGCTACCAGATTTCCTAGGCTGAGCTCAAGGCGCAGTGAGGGGTACTTTCGAAAAGTTAAACAACTTTTGCAAACATGTTCCCCCATGCCACGTTAAATATCGGCAACACTAGCCTGAAAATTCCAGACGCCTGTATTGACGCTGGAGCCATGCAAGAAAGCTGAATAAAATCACACCACGGGCAGACAGACGTGCAGCAAGTGGCAAAGCACCTGTGTGTATTGGTTCCACAAAACATGCTGCACAATTCCTGTAAGCTGAATCCCTCCGTGTTCCCAAACTGCACCCAACTTTGAAGAAAGGAAAGAAATTGAAGCCAAAAAAATGAAAGTCGTGTGGGGACAAGGCTGAATTGAAAGCCAGAGGCAGAAAACGAGGGTGTTGCTGCAAAGAAGATGCTAGAGAGAGAAAGAAGAGACAGGGAGGCGGGCTGGGGCTTGGGGCTGGCCGAGGTTGGGGTCTCAGAGCTGCGCTTCCGAGCGCGACTCGAAACTTCGAAGCCAGCAGCCTCCATCCCTGGCCCTTTTCCCTCTTCGGCGAAAGCCGCGGAAGAGCCGGCCCTTGGCAGCTCGCTCGCTCACTCACCTTGACATGAACCTCCACAACTCCAGCTGCCCCATCGCCAAACACTCCGGAGCTAAAGCAGCAAAGCGAGAAGCACCGGGACACTTCCACCCCCTCACGTAAGCCCCGCCCACCGCCGTCCTGCGCCGCCGCGCACAGATGACAAGTCCTCCAGGAGGCCAGAGCGGCCTATAGCGGCCTTTTCCGCTACGCGACGCTGAGGGGCGGGGCAAGAACGACGCCGGGAGGAAACAGTTTAGGGCGGGTAAGGGAGATGGGACCGGGGCGTGGCCTGAGATCCGAGACTGGGCCCGGGAGAAGGCGGAGAGCGAGCAGAGGCGAGGCGGGGAGAGAGAGAAGAGAGCGGACCAGGGCGGATTCGCAGAAAAGGAGATTGCCCTCTAGAGGCTGTCTTAGCCCAAAGCCCAATCTGTTGTCTAGGCTTGACCTGCCAATTTGACCAGCCGCGACTGATGTGAAAGACTTTTCTGGAATTTTAGTAATTTTTAACTAAAAATGTAAACTTAGTATTCTTTGAGAATCAAGTAGAGGAATTACGCTTGATAAAGGACATCGGTGTAGTTTATTTATTCCTAACCCAATATAGCAGAACTCCTTTAACAGGATTGAGACATTTTCAGTTTTCTTGGGAAAAGTTATAAGTCCCCCACTCTTCCTCAAAGACAAACAAGAGTTGTCTAATTAAAAGATAATAGATGTCTTCCCAACTAAAGTAAGTTACTGTTATCAGTGAGAGCATAATTACATTCAGAAAGTAGCTTATTCTTAAACGAAACCAACGTATAACTCAACCACTAGGATCACCTGTTAAATTGAGGAAAGCATTCCTCTGCTTCCAGACCCACCCAGATGTCCAGCAGAAAACATTTCATCGCCACTAAAGTATTGACACATTTATCAGAAAGAAGAAATCTGGTGACAAATTTCAGAGAGGACACATGAAAGACGTTTTCTTAGTACCATGATATTTAAAGAGATATTGAGACTTTGATCAAAAATTACTTTGCTAACCTAGGTAAAATGTAATAACCAAATGCCCACTGAGAAGAGGACAGACAACAAATATCACCGAAGGAACTCCTTACTTGCAATTTGGTTTTTAGTGGCCTACAGGACATCACCATCTGACATCATCATCATGTTTCATTCACTGCACGGAGCAATGAACCAGTCATCTATCTGACCTAGAATGGTTTACTGGGAAAAGCATGGACTTACCTGTCAGACAGACTGAGATTCAAATCTTCCTTGTCACATGTGTGAAATCTGAGTCTCATAAGGCCCCATCATTAGAAGGGTGCTGTGCTTGTTTTAATGCTGTGCTATTAATAATTTTTGAACAAGGAACCACAAATTTTAATTTTACAGTAGGCCTGCAAATTTTGAAAATCAGTCCTACCCCTAGCACACTAATAGTTTAATGACCTTGAGCAAATTATATAGCTTTTCAGAATCTCCATTTTTTCATCTAAAAATGGGTGTGCTGATGACTAAAGACTAGAGGTGTTTGTGAAGATCCAATAAAATACAGATGGAAAGTCTGGGCATGGTGGCTCACGCCTGTAATCCCAGCACTTGGGGAGGCCAAGGTGGGCAGATCACGAGGTCAAGAGATTGAGACCATCCTGGCCAACATGGTGAAACCCCGTCTCTACTAAAAACACAAAAATTAGCTAGGTGTGGTGGCACGTGCCTGTAATTCCAGCTAGTCAGGAGGCTGAGGCAGGAAAATCGCTTGAACCTGGGAGGTGGAGGTTGCAGTGAGCCGAGATCACATGGCCACTGAACTCCAGCCTGGCAACAGAGCAAGACTCCATCTAAAAAATAAAATATAAAAAAAACCCAAATGGAAATATGTGCATAAATTACTTAGGACCTTTTGGGTATTCAAGATCTGTCAGTTGTCCCACACCTTCCACCTAAAACGGTCCTTCCTATTCTTAAATTCTCTATTTCTTCCAATGATGCTATTGATCTTCTGGCTTCCAGCTCTAGAAACCATAGTCCTTTAAAAAAAAATTATCTTAACATTCTATTTTGAAGATTTTTCAAACATATAGCAAAGTTTTAAAAATTTAAAGTAAACACCTATGTGCTCACCACACAGATTCTACCTAGATTTGCATTTTATCTTGCTTTATTCCTTATCCCAATTATCTTATTTTTTAATGCATTTCAAAGTTAATTACAGGCATTGTTTTACTTCTCCCAAAATATGGCATGTGTCTTATTATCTAGAGTTAAATATTTGTTTACATATTTTTCCTTTTGAGACAAAATTTATATTCTGTGAAATGCTCAAATCTTAAGTGTACATTCACTGAGTTTGACAAATGTATATACACTTGTGCAACCAAAACTCCTGAGATATAAACCATTGTCATCACCCCAGAAAGCTTCCCTTCACGATTTTCCAGTCATTCTCTGCCTATCACTGCTTTCCCCACCTCACGCCCACCCCAGAGGCAACCACTGTTCTATTTTGAAAACCATTGTTGTTTGTTTTGAGGCTGGGTCTCACTCTATCACTCAGGCTAGAGTACAGTGCCACAATCACAGCTGACTGCAGCTTCAACCTCCCTGGGCTCAAGCAATCCTTGCCCTCAGCCTCCTGAGTAGATGGGACATCAGGCACATGCCACCACATCCAGCTAATTTTTGTATATTTTTCGGAGAGATACGGTCTTGCCATGTTACCCAGCCTGGCCTCCAACTCCTTGGCTCAAGAGATCTGCCCACCTTGACCTCCCAAAATGCTGAGACTGCAGGTGTTAGACACCGCACCCGGTCTGATTTTTTCTTGATTACTTTTGCATTTTCTAAAAATTCGTATAAAATGGAATGAATCAGTGTGCACTTTTTGTGTATAGTGTTTTTCACTTAACAAAATGTCCATATCGTGTGTGTCAGTAGTTTGCTCTATTTTATTATTAATACTTTATTATATGAATACACCACAGTTTATTGATCCATGCTCCTCTTGATAGATTCCAGGGGCTGTTGCCAGTTGGGGCTACTATGAATAAAGCTGCTCTAAACATTCTTGTGTAAATCTTTTGCAGACATATTTTTCCTTTTCTCTTGGGTAAATATCTATACATAGAATGTCTTGTGTATAGGGTAGGTCAATGTTTGGTTGTATATGAAACAACCAGACCCTTTTCAAGTGTTTGTATCATTTTGGACAAGAATTCTGGTGGCAGACAATCCACAGAATTGGGAAAAATGTTTACAAATAACATATTTGATAAAAAGCTATCTAGAATATATAAAGAGCTATCACCATTTAAATAACAGAATTTTTAAATGGATAACAAATTTGAATATACTATACAGCTCTCCAAAAAAGACATGTGAATGATCATTCATCATATGAAAAGATGCTCAACATTATTGGCCAGCAGGGAAATGCACACCAAAATCACAATGACTTCACACCCACTGTAATTTTTTTAAAAAAACAAGTGTTAGTGAGGAGAATTTGGAATACTCAGACACCACTGGTGGGAATGTAGGATGGTGCGGCTACCTTGGAAAAACATCTGGCAGTTCCACAAATGGTTAAACAGTGACCATATGACCCAACAATTCCATACCTAGGTATAATACCCAAAATAAATGAAAACATAGTCCTCACAAAAACTTGTACACAATGTTTATGGCAGCATTATTCATAATTGCCAAAAAGTAGAAATAACCCAAATGTCCATCAACTGATAAGTAGGTAAAAACAAAAGTTACATATCTATACAATGAAGTATTATTTGGCAAGAAACAGAAATGAAGTACTGATACATCATGATACAACATGAGCAAACATGGAAAACACTGTGCTAAATGAAAGAAGCTAGTCACAATAGGCCACATATTATATAATACCATTTGCATGAGTGTCTAAAATAAGCAAATGTGTACAAAATAGAAAGTAGACTAAGGTTGCCTAAGGTTTGAAAGGAGGTAGGAGAGTTGGAGAGTGACAGCTGAGGGGTACAGGGTTTTCTGGTGGAGTAATGAAAATATTCTTTTTAATTTTTATTTATTTTTTGTTTGCTATATTTTGAGAATTGCTGCTATCTATTAACTGTTATCTTTTTTTTAAAGAAGGAGAGGAAGACAGAGGAAGAAAAAGAGAGAACAGGAATGTTGTTTTATTCTAAAAATGGGTATTGAAAACTTCTTTTATACCAATAATTGTGCTTAATAATGGCCAATCAATATTTCATTTAAAGCTATGAGTAGGTGTGGTGTGATACTGATAAGAATGTATATTTTGTGTATTTAAAATGGAGAGTTCTATAATTGTTTATTAAGTTTATTTGCTCTGGATCTGAGTTCAAGTCTTGGATATCCTTATTAATTTTCAGTCTCATTGATCTATCTAATATTGATATTGAAGTCTCCCACTATTATTGTGTGGGAGTCTAGGGAGTCTAAGTCTCTTTATAGGTCTTATGTATCTGGGTGTTCCTGTATTGGGTGCATATATATTTAGGATCGTTAGCTCTTCTTGTTGCATTGATCCTTTTACCATTATATCTTTGTTGCTTTAAAATCTATTTTATCAGAGGCGAGAATTGCAACTCCTGCTTTTTATTTATTAATTTATTTTTGCTCTCGATTTGGTTGGTAAATCTTTCTCCATCCCTTTGTTTTGAGTCTTTTTGTATCCTTGCATGTGAAATGGGTCTGGATACAGCATACCATTGGATTTTGGCTGTATCTTTTGATTAAGGGATTTCGTCGATTTAAATTTAGGATTACTACCATTTGATGTTAGCTGGCTGTTTTGTCCATTCGTTGATGTAAATTCTTCATTATGTTGATGCTCTTTACTTTTTGGTATATTTTTGGAAAGGCTAATACTGGTTGTTCCTTTCTATGTGTAATGCTTCTTTCAGAAGCTCTTGTAAAGCAGGCCTGGTGGTAATAAAATCTCTGAGTACTTACTTGTTCATTAAAAAAAATTGTTTTTCCTTCAGTTGTGAAGCTTAGTTTGGCTGAATATGAAATTCTGGGCTGAAAGTTCTTTTCTTTAAAGATGTCGAATATTGGCCCCAACTCTCTTCTGGCTTGTAGGGTTTCTGCTGAGAGATCTGCTGTAAGTCTGATAGGTTTCCC